TGCTCTCTCTCACTTGCCTGAAGGGCAGAGGCAAAGCTTGAGCCTGCTGTCAATCATGCCCACCTGCTTCTGAAAGGGAGCCACTGTCTCAGGACAAGCAGTGTGAACAGTGGCTTCTGGGTGGGATGGCCAGCAGGGCCTGAGGTGAGGGACATAGACCAGTGCATTGCTTGCCCGGTCTCCTTCACCATCAAGCCAAACCTGGGAATGAAGGAGTTAATGCCTACATTGATGGGGGTGGGGCCTGGGGAACTGATAGTAATGTCATTTGCCCACAGTAACTAAAAACTGGATTCCAGGCCTAATTCCAGACCATGGTGCCTGAAACGGTAGCTGCCCCCTGGGCCAGGGACAGAGACTGTTATTGATTGTCACAATAGCTTCAGAGAGGTGTCCTTGTCCCTAAGCTAATAGCCTTATTAACTGCCCAGGCCTTACCCAGCCCTCAGGTTGTCCTACCCTGCTGCCTAAGTGCCCAGGCTACCAACTAAAACAACTTTGCCAGTTTCTGCATTAAAATAGAGGGAAAGTGGCTCTTTCACATGCATTATGCACCTACTATATGCTAGCTCACTTTATCTCAACAGTTGTAACTAGAGATGTTCAGAGGTGAGATGTAATCTCTCTAGAATCATACTAGAGGTGTGTGTAGAGAGAATTCAGCCCAGGATGGCTATGCCTCACCCCGCCCCTCAGAGAGTTCATAGTTCCTCCCTCTGGCCCAAATGACAAGCAAAACCAACAAAAGTACCCTGGTGGTGGTAGAGCCCTTTAGCCAGGTGCCTATGGCCTTAAGAACACCTACAGGCCTCCAGGAGCCTGTTTCCAGGAGACAGTAGAGCCTCGAAGTTGTTAGGATAAGCAAAGCCCCTGAGCATATAGGGTGACAAGGCTTGGAGGAAGGTGGCTTTTGGGGACTCCCGCACCCATCATATCAGGTCTGGCACAGTCCATGTACAGCATGATCCCACCCTCCTGCCACCCCGAACCCCACGGAGTGCAAGAGAGGGAAATCCCAGGAGGTGCGGACTGGCAGAGAGTCAGGATGCCCATAGTGTACCGGGACAGTCTCTGCCTCCCAGAGAGGCTTGTCTAGTTACAATGCAGAGGCCATCTATGTACTCCCAGAGCCATGAATGGAAGCTCAGGTGATCACTAGGCCTTCTGGTCCTCTGCACATAGCCACCTATGGGCCTATGGGCACTTTTGCAGCTGCCTGCTTCATTTCTGGGGAAAAAAAATCTCTTTGTACTATAAAATGTCTGGCTGTCAGGCAGTTCACCCTTTGGAAAGCCTGATGCATTTTCCACATGAACCTTTCAAAAGTGGCAAGCCCCCCCCTGCACTCAGCCCTATAACCCCACCTCCATCCAGGGCCATCTTGGATAACATTTCCTCAGGCTACCCAGATGGTCTGGACCACAGGGGTGCTGCCACCTGCCTCTCTCAGGATGGCTGGTAAGGTGGGAACTGGTGGGGTCAGAAGAGGGAGTATGAGGAGACTATATCTCACCAAGACACGTTTTGCAGGGAACCAGCTGTGAGAAAAAGTACCATATTAGGGTCAGATGACATGGATCCATTTCTCTCCCTATGCCCTGACTGTGGTCATGAACTTGTTACTTCATGCCTGTGCTCTTATCTGGAAAACAGTGCAGAAGAGGCTGGGATATGAAAGAGTGGTGTGTTCATTCCTGTCTTTGAGCTATCTACTAGGGCCCTGCTAGGCTAGACTTGGGGTACCCTGTCAGGGCCCCTACAGCTGGGCACTGCTGCTCCTGCCCCATAGGAAGAGAGCTGACTCCATAGAGGAGATCCCCTCTCCCTGTCTCAGACAGCCTGGTAGCCAGGCAGGACACTATGCTAAGGTCTGTGGTGGCAAAGCTGAGGGGGCCACATCCAGGCAACACAAGCTTAGTTCCAGGCTCTGGTCGCCACCTGTGTCACCTTCCTAGACACACACATAGCTACTCCAACCCTGCCAGCTTAAAACAAGGGAGGCTGCCAGAGCCAAGCCCCCCCCCCACAGCTGGGCCCAGGCAGCAGGGTTTGCAGGAAGTGACCAAGCTCTAAAGTCTGCCCAACCTGTGGGCACAGAGGACTCCTCCTCACAAGCTGGGGTGGGGGCACTCCTTATGAGAGTATCCAGAAATCTTCCGAATCACATGAGGGTATTGCATCTGAGCTGCTGTGAGTTGAAGATGCCAAGGACTGATGTCTCTCCAGGTTCTTCCTCCCCAGGGCCTTGGGGCCTCCAGCCAGTCTCTGCCCTTGATCACAGCAGCCTCTGCAAAAGTCTACGTGTTCTCCTAGGGCTGTTTCCTTTTTAGTCTTTATTTCTATTTCTCTAAACCAAACTCATCTGTAGCCAAGAATGGCCTAGAACTCACCATAAAGGCCAGGGTTACCTTGAACTGTCAAATAATCCTGCTTCAGCCTCCTGAGTTCTGGGATAACAGGCCCAGATAAAATGATTTTATGTTTTGTTTACTTGGAGACAAGTTCTTCTGTAGCTCAGGCTGGCTTCAAACTTGATTTGTAGCCAAGGATGGCCTTGACTGAACTTCTGTCTTCATCTCTTGAGAACTGAGATTACAGGAGTGTAAGACCACCCTGATCTTATGTAATGCTGGCGATGGAGTCCAGGGACTCATGAAAGTTAGGCAGGTACTCTACCAACTGAGTCACACCCCCAGCCCTCCCCTGGGATAATAATGTTCAGACAGCGATGCACATGGGCCCCAAGTCTGAACACTTGCCTCCAGTGGGCATGATGCTGCTGCTGGATGCAGCAAAACCCATACGGTGGTGTCTTGCGGAGAGGCATTTGGACAAGTCTGTTTGCAGCCCCCATTCTAGCTTACAGACTACTTGAGCCAAGACCTTGGTTCAGATCTTCACCCTTCCACTTCAGGACTTTCATCATGGAGCTAACTAACCCCCTCCTACCTCTGCTTCTGTACCTATGAAATGGGTACAAAGTGGTAAATTCCTGACATCCCGAACCAATGCCTGGCATTTTGTGGGGTTCTGTCCATGCCAGCCTATATCCATGTGCCCACACCCTCCTGCCATGTGTCTAATCACAGTTCTCATCCATCTGTGCCACTGGTGCATGTCTGGCCACTCTGCCAAGCTGACATGTGTTTCTGTCTTCTCTGCCTTCTGGGAGGCTCACCCTGGGACAACACATCCCTGTGTGCTTCAACTGCTTCTCAGGTCTGTAGGATCCCTCTACTGTTTCCCTGGCTGGGCCCCGCCCACTGTGCAGAGCCACCATCCCGGTCCAGATCTGCCTGCCTGTCACCCCTCACTCCCCCAGATCCCAAGCCCAGCAATTTTATCACCAGAGATGCCACAGCTACTTTTACTCATGAGCGTCCCCTGCCCGTCACTCTTCCACAGATGACAGAACAAGGTTACAACCCTGCTCCTTACTCGAAAGACACGTGGCCTGCAGTAAACTCCTCACCCTCCTGGGACCTCAGTTTCCTTATCTGCTTAACTGGGAACTGTGCTACCCACAGGCTTCCATCAATGGAGAGAAAACAACAACAACAACAACAACAACAACCCATCTCGGGCAGCTGCCCTGGTCAAGTGTCTGGACTGGTGAATTTTGAATCTTTATTTCCAGTGGTCCTCAGGAGGCAGGACTGTCTACCTCAGAACACAGAAACAACCTGGAGCCTGAATGGCATTCTGACAGAAACTCCACAATGGCAAACTGCTGTCACCACTCCCCAATGTCCTGGGAGATACCTCCAGTCAGATGCGGAGAGGCCATGGCAGAGGGGTGTACTGTGGGGTCTGGTCCAGGTCAGTGGTTTGGACAGTTGGTGACTTTGGCATCCTCCCCACTCCAGCAGAGGGAGTATGAAGGATGCCATGGAGGCTGTGGGAATACCCCACATGGTAATGAACATGAATCCTGTAGTTGGGGCAGATACAGGGCAGGAGAAAGCCCAGCTGGCCCACATCCTCCTCCCCTTGTGCCTTTGGGTAAGTTGGCAATCACTGGCTAGGGGTGGGTGCTTTCCTGCCTAGGTCATGGAGAGCCCTGGCTGTCCCGTTTGTGGTAAAATTGCCAGAGGGCAGGTAGACCTTGGGGCCACAGACAGCGATGGAATCTGGCACTTTGGGTGAGGCCAGTGGAAACTGTCACCCAGGGTCTGTGCAGCCACTGTACTTAAATGTCACCTTCCCTGCACTCCCTCTAGGAAGTCCCACCTAGGGCTAGTTTGGCCACCAGTCTCCACATGACTCCTATTTGCTGGGCCTCACCCCTTCTCCTCTCCATCCTGCTCAGCAGCCCCTTAAACGTTCCAGTTTGGAGGGTCACTACTGACTAAATGTTCCCCCCAAACTTGCTCCCATGCTGAACAAAGGAGATTACTGCCCAAGTGGAGCCTTGGGCATCCTAAATGTCCCACCCCATCATCATAGAGGGGCTTGGAAAAATGCCAGTCTGGACCTTGATTTATTGAGAGGAACCCAAACTAGCGAATCCCAGCCTTCTTCCCTAGGCCTCCACATCCTTACCAGGAATTCCTGCCTGTTGGTTGAGAACCCAGCGCCCCCTGGAGGCTGGTTATGGAAACTTTCCTCAGACTTTCCATCACCCAGGGGAAGGCCCTCTCCGGACTGAAGTGAGGGAGTGAACCAACCAGGTCAAGGAGGGCCCATCTTCTGGCTGATATGGACAGCAGGCTACCCTATCCCAGAGGTCCCTCCCTGCAGCTGGAGCTAAGCCGACCTCCCCGACTCTTCATGACCTGTCTTCATCCCATGTGGGATCCTCCCTGCGACTCAGCTCTTCCACCCCAAGGCCCAGAGACCCTTGGGCACCTGGTGGGAGTGGAGGAGCGGCCAGCAAGGCTGGCTCCTGCTCTTCGTGCCCCTCCACGCTCACTGGCAGCTGTCTTCACAGCAACAAACACAGGCGGGTGGGCGGGTGGAAGGGGTGGGGGACAGGTATGGTAATGTTGTGTGGGTAGCGGTCAGGGCACAGCACAAGGAAGCAGGGGGATGTGTGAGCTCTGTGCCGAGACGCTGGGAAACTCGGGCCCGATGAGCCCCAGGTCATGCAAATTGAGGATGGAGTCGGCGATAATACGGGCCGTTCGCTTCTGGTACCCACCCGAGGTTACCATTAGGATGGGTATATCATGGGCTCGGACCAACCGGAAAACCACTTCATCGCGCTTCACAATGCCCTGTGGGAAGACACGGAGGGTGAGCTCAGACAGGCCCGAGTTCCCACGGCGTCAAGAAGTACCATTACAAGTCTGACCCAGCTCTGGCTTGCTGCAGCTTAGTGCATCTCCCCGAGACATACAGCTGCCCATATTTTCTGCTGCTGCCAAACCTCAGAGCATGGCTTCCCTGCCCCACCAGGGCCAGGACACACAGCTTGGCAGATAGATAAAGACCCAAAATGGTCCCCAGGGTCAAGATTTCTCAGATGACGGACACATGTCCTAGGTGGCCCTGGGTCAGTGTTGTGGTTTGAATATATGTTCCCCATAGCTCCATGTGTCAGAATGCTCGGTCCCCAGCTGGTGATGCTGTCTCAGAAGGTTCTAGACCTTTAGTTGGCAGAGCGTGCTGGAGAAGGTACATCACTCTGGGTAGATTTTGACATTTTATAACTGAGCCCCACTTCCTGTTCTTTCTCTCTGCTTCCTGTGTGCAGATGAAATGTGGTCTCTCTTCTGGACTGCCCGGTCAGCCTCATGCTCCTGCTGCTACTATGCCTTCCCCACCATAATTAACCATAGTCTCTCAGGAACTGTGAGTTGAAATGAACCCTTTCTCCCCTAAGTTGCCATGTTTATCAGAGTAATTTATCACAGCAACATAAAGTAACTAAAACAGTCAGAATGTAACCCTGGCTATGGGCAAATTCCCAAGGCGGCCCCCAATGTTAGGACATACCGCTGGGCTGATGGACAGCCCCCCAAGGCGGTCCCCCTCGAGGACGTCTGTGCCTGCGTTGTACACCACCACATCAGGCAGATGCTCCTGGAGGGACCTCCTCACGTTCCTCTCCACTTTTTCCAGGTATTCCTCATCTTCTGTGCCCCACTCCAACTCCACCTTCCGCCTGATGGCCTCTGGGAAAGAGACACAAATAACCCTGAGTACAAAGCAGGGAAAATGTGGCTGAAAGATTAGGGGACTTGTTGATTCCCACAGCAGGACTAACTCCTCTGGGTCTGGCCTCTCATTTAACCAAAGCTGAGTGGCAAAGGGGTACGTACCCATGGGAGGGCGAGTGATTAAAGCTGAGGCCCTTCAGCCTTGAGGGCCTACAGACCTATCCTCAGGTCCTACCAACAATGAACTCTCCCTACATATTCAAGACCAGGCTCCCAATTGTCCAGAGTCAGCTTAGGCAGAACCAGTGATACACTGCATAAATGGCCTTGCCATGTTTTCATCTTAAACACCCCCTCCAAAGATCCATCTGTTGAAGGCTTGGTGCACAGCCTATGGTACTGATGGTGACTGGACCTTTAAGAGTTGAGCCAAGTGGAGGAAGTGATGTTACTGGGGAGTGACATATCAGGAACATGTGTCTTCATGTGTCTCTTTGCCTTCAGTTATCTTGACATGAGCTTTGTCCTACCACATGTATAGCCTCGGAACCCTATAACATGAGAGGCTCAAAGCAACAGGGCCAAATGAACATAGACCAGGACCTTAAAGCCATGGGCCAAGGCAAATCTTTGCTCCTCTCAAGCTGTGAGCCAGCTCCACTCCAAGGCTGCTGCTGACCTTGGTAGTGGTCCCATGGTACTGGCATCTTCAAAATTATGCCATGCGTTCTGTCATAGAGAAGGAAGCTGACTGAGAGTATACCACCCGTGGAGTGGACAGGTTGCTGATTTCAAATCAGGTCTCAGAGCCTTTGGACTATGCACTGAGTCCATTTTTGCTGCTTTTGCAAAATATCTTATTATATTTTAATTACATGTCTATGATGATGCATACATTAGTACAGTCCCTGCAGAGGGCATCAGATTTCAGAGCTGGAATAATAGGTGTTTGTAAGTCACCTGATCTAGAAGCTAAAAACTGAACTCAGCCTTTTTTTTTTTTTTTTTTTTTTTTTTTTTGCCCTCATTTTTGGTACCAGGTCATGGGGGGTACTGCTGTGACAGATTTGGGGACGACTGTAATAACATTTTAACTTTGGGCTGGGATAGCTATTGTGTACTCAGTGGCTCAGTGTGCTGTTCTGTGGGAGCTTGGCAGACAAGAGTGGTAGTGGCTTTTTCTTCATGAAGGGGTCATGGAGAAAAGCCAAGGCTTGGTACCATGTGGCCGGATAAGAGACCCCCGAAGAGGGGCCAGGAGAGGATCTTGGTGAAGGCGCACCCCAATCACAGTGTAGACTCCAGAATTTTGAAGATCCTAGTACTATGGTGAGCAGCAGCTGTGGAATACAGATGCCATGATCCTAGGACACAGCTGTGTGTACTGTGGAAGCTGGAATTGCAGACGTGGGCTAGGCCCCTTGAGCCCCGAGAATTGTGGTGAGTCCCAGACACACTGAACTTTTTATACTGTTGAATTTTTGGTTTTGCTTTGGTCTGACTATGATTGTGCTCTGGTGCTTCCCTTTCAGAGTTAAAAAGGAAAAAAAAGGTGTTTAAAACTTATTTTGATTTTATAAGAACCCAGTTATCAAACTATACATATTTTAGAGAAACTTTGGAGTTTTAGAGAGACTCAAATTTTGGAAAGACCTTGGATATTTTGAAGAAACTTTGAAAGGGATTTTGGATGTTTTAGATACTGGATATTTTTTTAAGTGCTTGAGTTTTTAAAGACTGGGACATTTAAAAGTTGGATATTAACGTTAACATGCCATCTTGGGGACAGACGAGAAAGAAAAGGCTGCAATTGAATAGTGACGTGTTTCTATGTCTAGTTGACAAGGGGTCAATTGTGTTGGCTTGTGTTTTGTGGGTGATACCACTCCTGGGCAGGTGGTCCTGGCATTTAAGAGGAAAACTGAGTGAGCCAGGAAGAGCAAGCCAGTAAATAGCATCCTCTATGGATCCTGCTTCAGTTCTTGCCTTGGGATTCGATTCCTGCCTTGAGTCCTGCCCTGACCCTCATAATGGACTAAATATAGTGTTCCTGTCCCTCAAGTTCCTTTTGGTCATCATGTTTTTTGCAGTAATACAAATCTAACTAAGGCACAAATGTTCTGAGCTTACTGCTGCCATCTTTATGTTCTCTCTCTCTCTCTCTCTCTCTCTCTCTCTCTC